GCGAGGTGGAAGCCGAGTTACTAGAGGCCTCTCACTCTCGCCGAGGTGAGTCCACCCCGAGCGGACTAAGGACTGCGTCCTGTCCCGAAGTGACCACCTTAGTAGGATGGGGATCTACGGCCTGAGCAAAGGTACCCACATCGGCCCCAGCGGACTCACCGCTCCCGTCTAAAAGACTATCTAAGCTAGGGCTAGACATACTCAAGAAAAAAGACAACAGAATCAAAAGGAAAAGGCAAAGGCAAAGGAAGGGGGACTCACCAAAAGGAAGACCGAAAAAAAGAAAGCGACCTCGGACCCAGAAAAGGCTGATACCGAACTGGAAGACTTGGGTGCGACCTCAAAGATTGCGGACTTGCGGACTTGTGGCAAGGAAAATGAGCCCCTTTTGGCCCCTATTTATAGCTAGTATATTCGGGAATCAATGGTCAAGATCAACACGATCCGATGACTCCTAAGGAAACCAGTTGCATGCCCCCTGAGGTTGAAATCGATTTAGCACGTGTTTTGGCGTCCGCGGAATCTATAAATAGTGTGACGTCCACGCGTGCCCGAGACACGACTTGGGTCATTTCATGGCTGAGCCAGATGGTTGAACAGGCCCGGCCAATGGTTTGCCCTCCAAATTGATTGGACCTCGCGCCAAATCCACCTGGACTCTTCATGAGCTCCCCGCACTGGGTTAGCACCCCTAGCATGAGGAGTGGGGAGCAATTAATGAAGGGTGATTTGGCACGACCTAGCAAGAAGGGGACACGTAGGCGCGATCTGATCAAAGGATGACAAGTCAGCCAGGCAAGCCCAGTTTGCAACATTCGAAGTTCGGGTATTCAGCCACCTCGACCCAAAACCCACCTCGATATAGAGGCACCTCAACACCCAATCCAGTTCGAGACTAAAGAATCAAAGTTCCAACTCGGAGCTAATGAGCTGAAATGCTACATAACCGACTCCAAAGGCCTCCCCAACAGATCCTGAATCTCTCGAGATCACGATGAGCCAACAGATCCCGAATTTCCCGAGATCACGATGAGAACTCGTCCCGCCTCTGCTTGAATCGGAGGTAACATACTACTCTCCTTCAAAAATGGAACAAACCTTATCTCCACAGCCCAAAGATCCCGGAGCTCTTTCATAAGGCCCATGACTATTCCAGTATATAAAGACATGAAACCTCAAGGCAAATGTACATGTGATTATTCTATTCACTAGCACTCAAGCTCTCAAGCATTCAGCTCGCATTCACAGCATAAGTATTGACTTAAGCATCAAAGCGACCTTGTTGGGTTAGCTACCCCGGGTTCTCTGATCCACTATTTTGCAGATTGATCCAGCTCGCCGTCCAATGGGAGATTGAATCGCCCTCCAGCTAGGAGTAGCCAGATCGCGTACCATCATATATACATAGCAAGATGTTCAATGTCACATTGTTTCTCCTTTCTCCATTACCCCAACCCTGCATTCTCCTTGGATCTATCTCCTTTCCCTCTTCCTACCACTCCTAGTTTGTCATCTATGCACTCTCTCACTTCATTCCTCTCCCTTCCCATTGGGTTCTCTCCCCCCGGTCCCCACAACTCACGTCTCTCACTTTTTATAGCAACCTAACTTCTCTCCTTAATTAGCTCAGTATATGTTTTATCCTTTCCTTCACTTCTATCTCTCATTCCCCTCTATTCTCTCCACTTCCCCATAAAAATAGGGTCATAATTTATTAAGATTTGGTTTTCTAAATCAAACAATATGTATATCTATAGAGGTGATTTCAAGCAAATTAAAGAGAGGGGGATAAGGGGAATTTGATGTTTCCTATATATTCGTGGCTTCTTCCATTATTGTTAAATAATCTATTCTTAAATAATAATCTATTGTTAAATAATCCATTAGTTATGAAAATTATTAACAATTTCTAGAAAATATTCTACCAAAAATTATGAAATAATTATTTTAGAAATAATCAGTTATTTAACAAATATTAAATAATTTAATAATCTACCAAAAATTAATAAACAATCCATTATTTAATAATTTTTAGTTATTAATAAATGTTCAAAATTTCAACGTTTAGCATAATTTATTGATAAAAGATATTACTAATTAACATAATTTTATTTGTATAAAATCAATAGTTATAGTTAACAATTATCAAATAATTTAGGGAAACTCTTTAACTAATTTCTATAAAATCCATAATTAACACTGATCCAGACCACTTGGTTGACTTCGATCATACCTGGTTTTACATTAATTAACAACAAATGGTTTACTTTTAATTAAAAATGATGTAATATACCATAATTACATTTACTTTTATTAATAGTAAATAATTTAGGCTTAAAAAGTAAACAATTTACATCAATTTATTTTTATTGTAAATAATTAATTACTATACATTACTATTAATCAATAGAAATTTCAATGTTTTTTTTTGGGAAATTATCATAAAACATTGTAATTTATTATCATTTAATTTACTATTAGTTAATTAGTTATAGAAAATTATTAGAATTGTAGAGATTACAATTTTCTCTGTAAAACTGGGCTCCTACCCTGCCCCGCCCTGAATGGGGCAAGTTTTCTCAAATCTTAAACGGGGATGGGAAAGAGATGGGGTGGGGACAAGGGAAATATTTTTGCCCCAAATTAGGGATGGAGTTTGCATATAATTCCCTGAACCCGATGATAAATTAGTAAAATATCTATAGATTTAGTATTTATTCTTAAAATATCTCTAAGTTTTCCTCATATTCATATAATCACAGGATCCCATAATTTCATTTACAGAATACCCCCATATTGTCATAATCTAATAGAGTGTCTTTTATGGGGCGAGGGACAAAGAAGGTGTCTCATACCATGCATCGCATGGGCTCCGCTAATAAATAAATAAAAAGAAACATAGCATTTATACATTGTCGTATTGTGGTTATATCATAATCAAATTTCTTAGAGGATTTACTGTTCACCAATGTGAGTGTTTTTATTTTCTAAAATAAAAAACAGCTGTTACTTCATAAACAATAAAAGAATTGCTGATGTTATAATTGTTCTTGCTTTAGAAAATGAAACCATACACATCGGCCAATACCCCCTTATCAAGAAAGCTTGTTGATTACTTGATTATACTGCAATCTAATACCATACCATATAGTGGTGATTACTGCTGAGAGCAGCAAGAACATTTTTTTTTTCTTTTTTTATGGACGAGTCACACACCCCTACTAAATACGCTATCAGTTAGGGGTGATCATGGGTTAGGCCAGCCTTTCAAGTCTATAACTTGAAATATATTATGTTTATATATATATATATATATAATATTTTACATCATATATTATATAAAATTTATGGAGGATTTTGATTAATTAAAACCCTTCTGGTATCCTATCTTCCCGGCAGCATAAGTTTTTGTGTATACATTTTTATATATCTGTATTTCGAGCTGGACCGCTGGACCTGACCAGGGTTCTAGGCCGGCTTACAAATAATCACGCATACCAAAAGTGATGGTTTGGAGAGGGCAATTTCTAATCTAGAATTTGTAAACAAGTCAGTCCTCGTACACATCAAAGTTATATACTTATATTTGTAAACAATTACCATGGCATAGGCCGTAGTACGACCATATATATAATTATACACGAGAAGTACACTGCAGTTCACGGAAGAATTTTGAAATTAGATCATCTGTTTTTTTAGTAACCCCCTTCCCTTTATAAATTGCATTCCGCTCTTAGATTTGGTATTAATCCATGATCAGGATTTATCCCTCCTGTAGGGTGGGTTAAGAATTTTGAGGTGGGCTGAATAGTTATTCTCCTTAATTATATATTTATATATATATATATATAAATAATTATAATATAATATATAAATTTTTATTTTCAATTGTATTATATTATTTTATTTCAATTAAATTATAATTTTTAATTTCATTTTATTATTTGATATATAAACAATTATATACATAAAAAATCATATAAAATAAAATTTTAAGATTTTTTCATTTTTTTTATATTTTGTTAATTTCTTTTAATTTTTATTATTTATTTCACTTTTTAAATATACCTCTCATGGCTTGGCCCAAACCCACTTGGGCTCATTCCATGGGCTATGTTGAGCCTAACCTCTAAAGTATCCTTGAGGAAGCAATCACGGCCCGACACAACCTGCCAAAACATGTGTAAGTATGAAGATGGAATAAATAGGGTGGTCTCCTTGGGAGATGGATCAATATTAGAATTGTAGGGAGAATAAAGGGTAGGCTTTCCGCTTCTGAAGAATCTCAACAGAATTGGAACGTCCTTTTATAGGGAAAATCTCGAGACTTTAACAAGGGATTTGATTCTTAGGAATGCCTCTAGGGGTTTGCCACATATCCAATGAGGTCCTTAAAGGCAAATTAAGTTCCCTTTTCCTCCTTGAGGATTCTCGTCCAACATGTACAGGCTACATCCCATCATGGGTTTCCTCACGACCATGTGTCAAGGATAAGGTTTTGGGTTTGATTGACATGCTCGAGTGTCCACCCGATCGCCTTTGGGGTGCCTCATCTCAGCTTGTTGTGACTAAAAAAGATTTCAATCATCTATAAGTAGGTGTCGCTGATATCGGGGTCTATTTACTATTTGTTACGACATAACTATTATTTTGTGTCCATCGCATTCGCAAGGTGCTAATAATATATTAGATTTATCTCAGTTGGTTGGCGCAAGTATATATGTGACTCTATTAAGATACCTTCATAAGGACCACGTGTACTTACAACATGGTAACCCGCAAAGTCATGTCATACCGGTCCGATAGGCCCTATTTACACCTCTACATCATATGGTCCGCCCAGCCCAATCTTGGCGGTACGATACAACAATCCGGGTTGTCCCGTGGCAGAAAAATATCTGGTTAACAATTAATCCAGAACCGGCAGAAATGGGTCCGGATCGACCATTTTCAATCCAGATAATCCGTGTTTTTAAACACTGTTACTCTGGTACTACTAATTAAGTAGTGAATATAAATAAGATTCCGATTCAAACATATGTTCAAAGTTCAAGTTTCAAACCCCAGTTCACAATAGATACATAGAACCATAGAAGACGACGAAGCAACGACCAAACTCATACTGTACGACCAAACTATGTCTGTCTTAAATGTCTATTACACACCGTACACTTAGTTTCACCAGTCGTCATACGGATGCGGGATGCCCCGGCAGCGAAAGGAACGAGTGCGCCATGAGTATGGGCACACTGACCACCTCACCTCCCAAGTCCCAATCTCAACTCTCAAGCCCTGGGGACGAGATAAACCCTGGCCTTGATAACCGAACCATTGCCAAGCTTGAACCCAGGAGTAACCGGAAATCCCACCACTGAATCCACCGGCACTCGTCCGCCGGTAAATTTTATTACACTCTCCATGTACTGAGGGTGATACTCAGATCCTCCCGTTGCCTGAAAATGACATGGTGGCGGCTCCAGTGCGAAGGCCAGCAGGTGAAGTAGCCAAACCGCCTTTGCCAGGCCCAAGAACTCTCCATAAAACTCACTCCTCGGGTGGTTTCCGGCAATGACCAAACGACGCTGCTCTAAGTCTCCGAAAAGAGATTCCTCCATCTTGGGGTGAACGATGGAGAGGTACTTCTTGGAGCAGAATTTACCGAATGGGCAAGTTGGCAAGATGCCTAGGAGCTCCGTCGGGTCCATAGCCTTCATGTCACGAAACTGAGCGAAGCAGTCTCGCCGGAACTGCTCGGGGTGGATAAGCGATGAGAGGCTGCCGTCCATGTAGAAGGTCTCGTGGTCGAATCCGTGGAAGATTTTCCGGCACACGTAGGACTCGAGCGCGTACTTGGCGTGATGGGCTTCGACAATGGCGGTGGTGTGGTCTTCGATGGCGTTGGGGTTGGTGGCAACTTCGATAGATCGGACGGCGGCGGCGATGTCCCAGTGAGCAGACCGCATGAGCGACATGAGGAGAGCTGTAAAGGATTTACATGTCTCTTTCACCTGGCTCATTGTTGATTCGAACAGCTCCGGCCCGGGCGCTGTTGCAACTGCAATCAGTGGTCGGAGAAAAAGGTCCGTCAGTCATTTGGAAATGACCATAATACCCTCGAGGAGCATCTATGTAGGGGGAGGGCAACAACAACAAGCTGTCTGCTTCCAGCTTCACAGTCTTACACGTGGTTCACGCACGTGGCATGTCCAGCAATCATGATGCTTGGCCTTTATCACAACCGTCCGAAAAGATGACAAGACAGATGGTCAATGTGACCAACGGGGATGGGGAAAGGTAGGGCATACCACATCAAACTGGTTTGCCACGTGGTAATTTTAAGCTCAGGGAGAAGTAAATTTCATCCTACTGACTTTACTGAGGTCACACACGACTGACAACAAAGATGAGGTTATTTTCGTGATTTTATAAATCGAGAGGGAGAGATTGTGGGGTTTACCTTGACCTTGACTGCAACTGACTTTCCTCTTGGACTGAAATGAGTGAAACCTCCCTTTCTTCCCGCTACCAGTCGTAGTGACGTTGCGGAGCTTCTCCTTTAAGTTCTCCACCTCCACCTCTTTGGCCTTCACCTCTTTCTTAAGCTCATCCACTGCAGCCTCGTACGGCGCCACCGCATCCCTCAGCGAAACCAGCCCCAGCGGTCCTCCTTTTCCGCCTCCTCTTACCCTCCTCCGGAACTTCTCTTTCAGACCGACGAGTCTCCTCAGCTCCGCCACCACCGCCACGTCTGCCACCCTCATCTTCTCCGGATCCCAAGGACAATGCGCCTCCTGCAAGCTAACATAAGCCCTCTTTACAGCCGACACCGCTTCGAATACCTCCCCCATTAGCATCTCCATCTCCGTCACCTTCTCCAAGCTCACCACCTTACTCTTCTCATCCCAGACCTTATATCCTTCTTCTTCCTCTTCTTCCTCCACATCTTCTTCGCCGAACGGTTCGACCTCACCGTCTTCATATTCACTCTGATCGTCCAGGTCTTCTACTACGTCCCGTCCTCGGGCTAGTGGATGGAGCAAACAAGAAGCCGCCACTCGTTGAATCAGATCAGAGAAATTGGAGACCTTGGTCGCCATTTCAGGTTTTTTCTTCACTTTGATCTCTTCGTTTCTGTAAAAAGAGTTGGGAAAAAAGAGGAATATGATATGAAAAAGGATTTTTATTCAGTTTCAACTATCAATTAATAAATGTTCAGACCAAAACCAAATTGTCAGTACTCAGGAACGTTGTGGGCACTGGGCAGTGGGCACGCAGAGGATAATAAATTAATAAGATCTCCAACTCCAAGAGGGGTTTAAGTAATCCAAAAAAATAAAGGTGAAAAGCCCATCATGTTTCTTTTTAAAATAAAGATGCAATTAAGCTGGAGTTCTGACTTTGAATTCTAATGGAGAAAGGGTGGAGGAGCTGACCTTAGCTTGCTCTCAGACCGTAATGAGAATCTTGGAGGGTTTTCCGTCGACTTCCTGTTAAACGGAATGGACTGTGGGGCCTGTGGGTCTTTGGTTTCCTTTTCGATGCTCCTGCGCTCCACCTTCTTCTGCCTGGAGAACCAGAAAACCGCTGTTAATTTATTGCTCGAATCCGACAGTTTCGTGCCGGGAAACCGCTGTTGTACTAGTACTGGCTACTGATACTGAGAACGGAAAACCACTTTGTATGTGTGGATTTCAACTTTCTACATTCAACCTCCGATCAAGTGGGCTTTATTTTACCGTATAAAGAAGAGACTCTGGACCTCAGAGTTTGGGGAGTGAATTAAAAAAGTTCAACATTTATTGGAAAGCTCATCCATTACCAATCACGTGGCAAACCGCATATCATGCATATTGGGGGAGAGAGAGAGAGAGAAGGCACCGGTTTTGTATGTCGGGCATACTCAGATATCTAAGCATGGATCTGGGCCCACAGAAGTCCTTACGTACGCAAAAAGTCCACGGACTTTGGTGGTCTAGCCCATGGATCCATTGGTGTGGAAGTAGGAGTCTGAAGGGACAAAGAATGGCCCACCAGCACTTTGGCCATGTTGTTAATATTCCGTGAGTTTTTTTTTTGAATGTATATTCCGTGAGTTAACTAATTACAAACTGCGTAATTAGACATTTCTAAAATCCAAATTGCCCTTATCATTTTTTAGAAAATTAAAAAGAAAGGAAAATAAAAAAAGAAGTTTGAGAAAAAAGTCAAAAACAAGAAATACAACAACAAAAAAGAAAAGAGAAAAATAAAATAAAATAAGTTATAAAACGTACAGTAAATTGTAAAAAAATATATATAACAAAAAAGAGAGGAAAATACAGAGAAAAAAAATACAAAATTCCAAAAAAGGCAACAAAAAATTGTGGATAAAGAAAAAGCGATAAAAGCACAGAAAAATAGAAAAAAAATAAAGAACTTCAAAATTCAAATGGACAATTTCGCAATTTTATCTATACCATCAAGCCCTTCAAGTTTCAACGACAGTGACAGTCTATAATTTACCTAAAAATAAGGGAAATTTACAAGTGATATCCAAGCATGGACTACGCCCACGGCCCACACGCTAGTTCTTACAAATGCAAAAGGTCAAAGACTTTGGTCTAGCCCTTGGATCCATTGGTGTGGAACAAAGAATCGGAACGGACCACGAATGGCCCACCAACACCAATAATAATATGGAACAACAAGTAGAGGAGAAATGGGCATCAACAATCAATAGAAATCGTACTATTCCAAACATATTGTACTGGATTAGGTATAGCCAAACTATTTAGGTTATCAAATGTCATCTAACTTCCAAGATAAACATACGTGTCCAGCCAAAATATTTGGTAAAAAGAAATAACTCTAGTGGACCTTTTCGTCAGAGCATATGTGAAGACGACAAACACTAGGGGTACTAGAGTCCAAAAAAGCGACTTTGTGCTTTGTTAATTGTTATGTTCTTGCTTGGTCTCGTTAAGTAAGTAGTGTGGCCGTTTTCTCATGAAACAAATCAACGATGTTATGTCACTGTTGTATATTGGCTATCACGTTTTACAGGTTGATTGGTCAGTTTTTTTTTTTTTTTTTTCTGTTTGGTACCATGTCTTTTCTTTTTTTTTTGGAAAGAAGTACTATGTCTTTTCCGTATCATAATTTTGAGCAATTTCTTATTTGGTGGCAATGATTCAAGTAAACGTGGTTGTATTAATTTACCGTGGTTTCTTTGAAAGTAACTTCTGGAATCGGGTGAAAACAACTTTCTTATGTTTATTGTTTTTGGAGGTTTCTTTTGGGAGAAGTATCAATCAGCCCAGATCAGAATTTACTAGGTCCAAAGTACAAGGGGAATGCATCCTGACTGTGAAGGGTCTGGAATTCAGAATTCTGCATGTGTGTTTTCATACTTTTCCCCTTTTTTTTTTAATCTCTTTGGTTCTATGCGGTAACTAACAGTGTTTTAAGTGTATTTAAGATTCAGTTTGAAAAGATTATAAATATAAATATGTACACTGCAAATATATACAAAATAATACAAGATATAAGGTTTTGCAATCTACAAATTTGTATTGGTATTCCTTTCAAATTGAGCCTTTGTAGTGTACATATTTGTATTTGTACTCATTCCAAATCGAGCCTAAACAAAATAAACAAATCTGCATTGAGGCTGTGCACAATTGACCTATTCTTTTGATTTTCAAGGTAAAAACATTGCCTATCAAACATTGTCTAAGATGTCTCAAGTGATGCCATTCGAGTTTTTTATTTTTATTTTTTTTGTTTTGATTTCTCTTGAAGGACTACGGCATGTAACCCATTCCTCAACCCATAACCCCTCAACTCAGGTATAGGTGAGATTTGACTCAAGTTTCCACTACTACCAATAGGAGACCTTCCCAACCAGCTGGTTGGTACCATTCCAGTTTCCATAACAATGGACATATTGAGGCATGCAAAATGATTTTTTTTTTTTTTTTCATAGGAAGACATAAAGAAAGGTTAGAAGATTCAAATAAAGTCTACAAATCAATTGGTCCAAAATAAAACCAACAATTCCATCCATATGGTCATGATCATGGGATTCTCCAAGGAAGGCTATGACACAGATTTAGTAGTCGTAAGTCCGAGTTATGGTGTTTCATGTTTAACCAGACCACACTATCCCTGAAAATAATAGTGTGTACGTAGTAGCATTAGGTTGGAGCTAGACTTCCAAGAATAAGAACAGTTCAATGAATGCACAAATAAAGAGAAATTTTATTATATCTGCACTTGTCTCTTTATAAAATGGCTTTTTTTTTTTTCAAATTGAAATATTTTCAATTATTATTTCCATCTTTTATATGGTGAAACTTTTGTTTATCATCTTGTATTCTATAAAACAGTTATAAGGCCGGCTAGTTATGTCGTATGGAGCAATGTGATGTGTAATTAAAAAGCAATATGCCTAAAAAATGAATGACATAAATGCATATACTAAGATGGATGAATAGAAAAATTACGAAGGATAGGATCAGAAATGAAATCATTTAAAGGAACTTAGAAGTTTCAATAAATAATAAAATGAGAGAAAGTAGGCTAAAATGATTTTGTTATGTGCATAGAAAACCTTTAACAACATTCATATGAAGAAGTGGTCTGATGTAAATTGAAGGGGCTAGAAGTAGGGTTGTCAATGGATTGCACAACCTGTACTAGTCCCATCTTGATTCTTTAATCGAGACAAAACCATGCAAATACCCAAAATCATCCCAATTAATAATTAGGATAATTGGATTTGATCTGATTAGACCCAATTATATCGACAACTATAATTAATTAAATAAAGAGAAACTAAAACTTGATTTGATAATATAATCTTAATAAAAATGACTGTAAAATAAAAATTTTATTAATAATTCATGTGTTTTAATAAAAATATCTTTCTTATCTATCTAATTTACACTTTTACACAAAATATAATAAAAGTTACAAAAGAACTAGGGAGCCTTTATATATTATTAACAAAACAATTGGTTCAGAACAAGCAAAAACAAGAATCCATCAAATTATTAATAGGACAAAGTCACAGAACTAGAATTGATATAATTAGTTAAGATGGTTTGGGTCTATCAGATAGAACTAACTCGTTGATATCCGTAGGGTGGGGTAGACAAAAAAGGGCAGGGGCCAAAGTAATAAATAATTACTTAAGTGTTAATATTTTAGTGAATGATACATTAAATATAATAGAACGGTGAAACAAGATTCATATAGTCGATTCCATATAGTTTGATAAGTTGGGACAAGGCTTGAATGATGATGATGATATTGTATAATTTGTTTTGATTTTATATGGCAAGGAAAATAAAAACCATACAATATATGAAATATGACATATATTTCATCTAAAACAATTCCATCCATCTTACATGGAAACAACTATAGACATAATGTAGAAAAAAGAAACAAAAGCACTCTGCCATATTATTCTACCATGTTGTAGCAAAAAATTGGCATACCTTTAATATTATATATTTATTATATTGACAAAAATAAATTTGATGAATAAGAATTATATTTTATTAATGATGAAAAAGGCTAAAAATGCAAAAACAAAAAGAGCTAATTTTAGACTCATGAATTATATTAATTATTTAATAAAAATTAATAGTATAATACAAAAAAGAAACTATTAACAATTTAAAACAAATAATAAATAAAACATTAATTAATTAAAAATAATCAATGCTTAATTAAATAATTAATTATAAAGTAGTTAATAAAATAATTACTAGTAAAATATTATTAACTATTAATTGATTAATTAAAACATTAATTAAGGATTATTAGTTAATTAATTAATAATTGTTATTAGGGATAATGTTTCCACTATTTTCCCTTTTGCAAACAAACAATAACAATGGAATTTGAAAATTTTCCATGCATTTCCCTTTTTCATCCCAACCCATCATTTCCCATCCCACCAAAATCTTCCCTCAAACTAAATGTATCCTTAGGCAAGCTTACTAGTTACTAGACAACTCCACTAATTCCTGCTACATGTTGAAGTCTTGTGGCCAATCTAGAACGTCCATAAGAGGCCCTCTAGATTGGCCATGGGTTCACTTGATTAGTGGTCCACATCAGTCCTATACCTTATAATCAAGATGCGTACCTTATAATCTAAAAATGTTCATAATACCATTGACATGTGGTATTTTTTTGTCCTCAAATTTAGGATGAAAACGGGGTAGGTTTGGGGAAGGTTTTGTAAATTCTAGACCATACCCACCTCCCTAAACCTCCCAACCCGTATCCATCCCAAAACCCGTAACGGGTTCAATTTTAAGAATCCAAACCCTCCCCAAATAAAATGCAAAACCCTCTCTGATCCTACCCTCCCCGCATTCAAGGACAGGGGTAGGTTGGGTTTAGAACCCACATCTAATTTCTTATTATTTCTTGTCATATATAAGCAATTATTAAATAAATAAAAACAAAATTTTCAACTATTTGATTAATACATGTGGAAAACACATAAATTATCAATTATCCTTCATGTAAAATTCAAAATATTATTAAATTCAACACCTAGTATATA